TATTTAATTGCTGTGGTAATAAAAAAGCAACAGTCAAACAGTAACATGATTTCATGTTCACGATTTACCTATTATAGAATAGCTTGGTGGATAAGGTGGTACCTTGGGTGAATATATACACCTAATAGCCTCTTATAGTACTAAAAGTTTTCGCAGACTACCTAATGTATTTAACGCATCCGTACTGGCGTTACCACAGTCTGGAAAATTTGATTTGAATGCACTATATATAGTTGGCTGAGATGATAGCTCTAGGTAACCGTAGGTTTGCTCAAATACGAAGGTAAAAATGAGAATGTTTACACATATTCCCTAAGTCTCATTAAAATTTATACCTCTTCTCCAAAGGTGGTGTCTGGAGGCCTTGCCAAAATCTTCAGCCGTTTATACAGATGAGGGACAAATATTTAAGTAAGTAAGTATGTTAATAAACACCTGGCTTTAAGATGACTTAGAGGTAGTCCAAGTATGAACTTCGGTTTAATGTCTAATAGAAGCTTACAGCGAAGAAGGGATATTTATCTTGGACGATGGACTGACCCGAGAGGAGTCTGAACGAGAATTCGTAACATGACTACAGACCCAACTTTGACAAGATCATTTATATATGGGTATCAAATGCAACCTGCCCCTGGGATAGTTTTCTCAGTAGCTTATTACCTAAGGTAGCTCTGCTCATTGGTGGCAAATATTAAATTCAAGACACGGATATTCTACGAGCCGGGAGTGTTTGTGATAAAAGTAATGTCACATTAAATAGAACTATGAGACACTGTATTAATAGAAGAATAAGCTTTATTATTGATCATGTTACATTGCTTATTTTTCATCTATCTAGGAGTCTAGGAGTGAAGAGGTAGGTGGTCAGTTTAGCGATTGGGCTACATGTGGTCTGTCGAAGGGACTTATCGCATTAAAACTTAAAGTAAGTCAAGGAGACTCCCACGGGACCTAGATCGACAAGATATATGACACTGTTTGCCATTACATTTATCATATATGAATGCCCTCTACCTAAGATAAGTGATATAGTACTTGTACTGTACAAAAATGGCGGTAAAACATCGCACGTGCCGTTTAGGCGCTAAAATGGGCAGAATAGCCAGCCGACGTCCTAAATAAAAATTTGGCGAAGCCCACAAAAAAATATGGTTAGCAATCAACCGCTATTACGCTATTACGCTATTACGTCCACAAGAATTTCAACAGCGATTAGGACGTTGTATCGTTCTCCTTTGGTGAAATCGATAATAGCCTTAGATTCCTTCCCTCGTCCAAACCTCAACTCTAAATTTCAACGCTCTCCTCCCTCTGGTATACACACCTACCTACATACCTACCAGGCAATTTGTATACCTACCTACCTATCTTACAGGTACCTCATAACGTTGACGCTTTTCGACATCAAGCTAATCGTAAGTACCTATACCTCTCTTCATGTACAAATATATGTGGCATCTTAAGTACTTAGGGTACCCTATTCGTGTACCTGCCGCTTAGCATCTCGCCTCCTTCTGTATTGCCGCTGCCTTGAAATCTCTGTTTTCAGGCCGTTGGCTTCGACCTAGACGTTTATCACCCCACCATTCAACTCCTTCCACAGGCTAACTGCCCGATCATCCTTCCGTCAACATACTTTTTTTTTTCTTCTCGTTGTCCTTCCTACCACACGATAAAAAAAATTTATTCTCCATACATACACACAAACACACACACACATACACACATCCTTCGTCGTTTTCATATCGGTCCTCCCACTAACAATCTCGTCGAGGACCTAGTACGACACCAACATCTATTTCGTGGTCGCTGCTAGATTACGAACTTGAACTCAAGTCAACGGTAGTTCAACGCTGCTGCTTCATACCAAACTTACGGTAAGCCTTAACTTCCTACTTACATTAATGTCAAGTTCATCCTTTGTCATTCTCATTCGCTGGTGTTGGCGTTGGCGACTATGAACCCCTCCTTCGTGGCCCCCTTCTGGTACACTGAACATAACCCCGCTGCACGGGCGTACATATCAGTACGCGCATCTCAGATATTATCGCCTAATCCCCACATTCATCACCTTGCATTCATGACGAATCGGTGTCCCTATCAGCCCTACATACACCCATCCTGCTTGCGCTACGTTGTTTTGATATATCTGTTACTTGCTACCAATCTCTTGGGTCTCTGGCGGCACCTACAAATGCTTCAAAGCTTCCAATGAAATTGTGACTTGGCAGCTTGAGGGTGGTGTTCGAACTGGTATTGGCACTCAATCTATGTGGAGTGAAGACCGTTTGCCTGTGCCAGCCAACGGTTACATGGCATAATACTCCATTTTCTAATGGGGTTTCACTCGCTAACATTATCTACGTTTTGACAGACTTCGATCATCCGCATCATCTTGAATCCACAAAGTCAAGATGGATTTCCAAGGTTCCACTCGTACCTGCTACACTTGTAAGTCATCACATTATCTATTTTTAACAATTATCTACTGCCTCCTCGTGTGATTCTGGTAACATTATCTATATCTTCACTTATAACTACTATATTGATGTTATTGTACGATATTTATTTACCAAACAACTGTCAAAGTCTACCAAATGTGCTCCCATCAATTTTCCCGATTTCGAGTATACCAACATGAAAAAGTCTTTTTGTTCTGTATTACTAGTCAAGACACTTCATCCTCTCTCCAATCCCCGTCTATCCTGTTTTAATTTCGTGGGCGAGGCATCATCTAACATCACTTCACGTAGGCGGTCAGCCTGGACATCAGGTATGTCTCACAAAAAGAGCTTATTGAGCTGCGAGGCGGTTTAACTATACGAATGCATTTATTTACTGACAAAATTCTCAGACCCGAGAATGTCCTAACCGTGGTCCGCCCAAGTGGTAAGAAATATTCTCATCTCTGGTTTGATGGATGTTTATAATAACATTTTCGTAGTTACAACTGCGGCGGCGAAGGTCACTTCAGTAAGCTTAGCGCTTTCCCAAGTTCAACTGAACAGCCTTTAACAGAAGATTATTTTAGGTCGCGATTGCCCTGATGGTCCTAAGGACACCAAGTCATGCTACCGCTGCGGTTTGACGGGTCACATAAGCCGTGACTGCCCTCAAAGCGGCGCTCCGGCTGGCGGTCCCCAAGGTGGTGGTGCTGGTGGTGGTTCCCAGGAGTGCTACAAGGCAAGTTCTCACAATACTGCCTGTTTGGCTATTATCGTAAAACTAACTTTCCCGGTTACAGTGTGGCAAGCCTGGCCACATTGCCCGTAACTGCACTGAATCGTACGGCTCAGGCAACTACGGAGGAGGAGGTGGTGGTGGCTTTGGCGGCGGCTATAACGGAGGCGGTGGCCAAGGTGGTAAGACCTGCTATTCTTGCGGTGGTTATGGCCACATGTCTCGTGAGTAAATTTGAAATCCTAAGGCATATGCTTTCATTCTAATCTAGTTATAGGCGAATGTGTCAATGGTAGCAAATGCTACAACTGCGGCGAGAATGGCCACTTCTCCCGTGACTGCACTAAACCTTCGACTGGTGGAGAGAAGATCTGCTACAAGTGCCAGCAGCCTGGACACGTCCAGTCTCAGTGCCCTAACTAAGCGGATTCACCATAAAGATACCTCGAGCTTTTTCTGCGACGCGATGACTTCATTACAAATTCAATTTCTTCTCGGCAAGTTATGAAGGTGGATGGCGACCGTGGCCTTTGGAAAGGTTGCCAGAGCAGTGGATGATTGGGAGGGTCAATCTCTAATAATCTTCGACAAACACCCTTTGTATATTCTCTTATGGGCACCCTTCGCGTAAGCGGGTGGGTTACTATGGCAGGTCGTGATTTGGTAAACTCGAGTAATCTCACTTGGTCGGAATTATGGCACAATGGAAAAAGGGGAAAAATCTGGCCTGGATCCGGAAAAGTTCTGTTGCGGAACACGGAGTCATGGTTTTGCTTTGCTAGGGACATTGCAGGGTTTCTCGTTCTGGTTGCGTTAGCACCATACAAATACACTTCTGCGCAGTGTTGTTCCCAGTCTAGGAACACTGAATGCGAATGAATTTCATTAATTGCCGCCAACTGTGTTCGTCCGATTAAATATTTATATTTCTGACTCATTAACATTGTAATTGGTTCGCTGATTATAAGCTGGTGTCCTGTAGGGTATCGAGGCTACACTGTTATGGCCTCCTGCTCCGAAGGTACTCGTAAGATGAGGTTGTCCGAATCACGTTATTTAAACGGTGTTGAGAATGATACTTCTTATAACGGAATCATGATACCGTAGCTCGTCCTGATTGTGACAGGGGTTCAACGGGAAGAACGGCATTCGAGTCCCCGGATTCATTTGTCGTAGTCGTTTTTCTCAACTATAAAAGACATGTCCAACCGCTAGACAGTCACTTACAACATAAGTACTAGGAAAACATCGTCATCGTCATTGTTATTGTTATTGTTGTAGGCCGCGGGCCTAACTCTATCATTGCTATTTAAAATGGTATCTAACCTAGGTATCTATCGACATACACATCTACGCCCATCCAATCAATCCATCCGGCGCCAACTCCGTTTTCCAGAAAAGGGAAAGAGGGGAAATTCAAAAGGTGTTATGTTGTGTATGGGCTGAGTCTAAGCATTCTCCAAAAATCCGAGTATCCTAAGCCTCGCTGTGTGCTCGGTATGAATATATACGGCGTCGAGGTGCCTGCTTGCTCTCGGTTGCGATCCGCGCTGTGGGAGGGCATGTTGGTCGTGTGCTATATACTATGATGCGGCGCGAAGGCTAGCGGTGTTTTTCTGGGTGCCGTCGCGGTGGCTACCTAAGCTAGCTAGCTGGTAGCGAAATATATCCATTCTTCGTGTGATATAATTGAGTGACGCCTGGGATTCGTGATAGGCCACGGCACGTGAAATGCCGTACGTCGACCGGACGTGTATTCGAACGTAACAAATCCGTAGCAACGGAAGAAAAAGCCGTTGTCTTTTCTTCTTCTTTTTTTATTAAATGCGAAGAAGAACTTGGTCTCCTTTTTGCTTCTCGTCTTCTTTCTTTCGGGATAAGAGCTGCGAGATCATGAAATGACTGACGTCTTCGTCCTGCCAGTAGCTCATGTGCGAGGCGATAGTATTGATAGGGTTGAAGTCAAGTGCGCTTCTAAGTAATTAAGTAACCAGTTAGTAATTATCGATTATTTTCCTGCTTCCGGTTTGAGGCTGCCCCCCCTTTACTGGAGGGGCGAAAAGGGTAGGAAAGACACGATTTAGACTTACTCCTGAATGCTGTAATCAACCCTGCCATTTCGGTTCAGGGCGCGCACTTTTGCTTCCTCCCTGCGCAGTTTCAGCGCCTTTTGCTCCTCGGCCGCCCACGCCTCACCAAGCTCTTGGCCCTCCTCAGCGCGACTGGCGCTGTTCTTATGCTCCTCGATACGCTTCTTCTGAAACCGGGAGTATAGCGTCTCGAGATCATCGTCGATGAGCGTTGCGTCGTAGCTAGAATTACCACCTGGCCCGTTGGATGAGTTCTGGCGGGCCAGCGCCCTCTTCCGCGCGTCAGTCTTCTCGGACTGCGCGTTGGTATCAGAGATCACGCTGCCGGAAACGATATTGGTACCGGCTCCTGGAGTAATTGTCTGTGAGGGATTGTTATTGCTGTTTGCGGCGTTAAAGTTCGCAACGTCCTCGTTGCTCAACCCAAGGCTGCGGTTAAGGATACTGCTGGCGATACCGGCGCTGAAACTAGACCAAAGTCCGCTCACGCTCTGGCCTACTTTGACGCCGAGACCTGACAATCCTTGTGGGGCTACGGCACCAAATATACCCTTTTTGGTATAGGGTAAGAGTTGTGGTTTGAGGGACGACATGGCTGGCGAGATTAGCGGCTCTAGGCGGTAAGAGATCGGATCAGAAGGATGGAAAATATTGAACAATTGTCCTGTCTTTGGCGATGATACCGAGAATGGGTGACCCGTAATGGCTGAGATGCGTTGATCTGATGCAATGGAAGAGAGAAATGGGTCTTCTACACCTTCTGCATTGAGGGAGCTTTCAGATGGGGCTGCATTCGGCTTGCTCCTGGCTGCGATGGTACGCCCTTTGAGCATTTGGAAAAGCCCAATCGGCGAGCCGAGGCAGTAGAAGTCTTCTACTTCGAAGTCGAAGGCAAGGTCTCGAGGATCTTGAGAGGGTTCAAATCGCTCCTGAGAAGGCCAGAAGCGCAGAGGGTGACGGGGAGTCTCTGGTGGCTTTATTCTCTCCTTCTGCCTACAGAGGATATCGAACATGATTGCCGAGCCTAACGAATGACCGATGATGTGAACCTTGCCTTTGAAGTCGGGGTTTCGTTCCATGAAGAGCTTATAGATCCTGTTCGACTCCTGTAGGACTATCTCAGCAATTTGTTCTCGGTAGGCGCTCTGGTAGAGTAGAACATCCAGAGCGAGGTCTGATATAAGAGAACGAGCAAATGCGACCCCTTCGATGGTAATGTCTTCCAGAGAAGGATCTGGCAAGTTGTTAATTCACAGCTAGGAGGTCAAAGATCTTGAGTAGGATACTTACATTCATCCTCTTCACCTCCGATATCACCCAAGTCGGTCTCGCCTTTCTTTTCTCGTCGCTTGGGGAAATCTAGTAAATGTCTCCAGCAAACTGGGAGAACTTGAATTTTACAATTGCCCGGTCCGTTATCATTCTCCTTATTGAGAGTTTTCAAGTCTGCCGAGTGTGCATACACCGCCTTGATTGTTTTTCGTAACATGTTAACATCATGGACAAAATTGACGCTCTCCATGCTGGAAGTACGGATTAGCATTTGTGCTAGAATTAATTACGATAGTATAGGAATAAATACTTACCGGAGTCCTAGAAGCTGTCCGATCCCGTGGGTAACAAGAACAAGATGCTCGATGTCACGTCCTTGCGTTTCTCCGTCCTGTCCGTTATAGTCGTCCTGGATTTCTTGCTCCTCACGCTTTCGGATTTGCTCATCTTGCTTTTCTGGGTCATCAGAAGCCTCGATAAATGATGAAAATTCCCGCTTTAGGCGATTCTCTCGACGCTGAGTCTCGGTTATAATTTCGTCACCTTCGTTGTCTAGGTCTGAAGTATCCCCCGAACGTGTACTAGGCGGAGCAGATCTTCGCTTGATAGACTTCTCTTGCTTGTCGTCCACTTTCTCGGGGGGTAGAGTGGCGGTCGGGGGCGTAGGTGGTCTTTTCCCATCTTTTGTCTTTCCAGGCTCCGAGTAGCCACGCACCAGTTTTACACCATTCATATAACCACCGCCAGCAAACCTCTGATATACCGTCGACGTTACCCAGGAAAAGACACTCTCCGAGGATAGCCATGCAGTGTTCGAGTCCTGATAAGTTGCTATACTGTTCATGTAAGTACCGAATAGCCGGTAAGTCTGCGGTTGATGTTGCACTGGGAGCTGAGGAGACTTAAGTGGACCGTCAGTTTGCGACTTGGCGACTGCCTTCAGATTTTCCGAGGATGGTTTAGGGGTAACATCTTGTACTCCAGAGCTACTGCGGATGCTTGGTGCAGGATACGTCCACGGCTTGATTTTCAAGTAACCTTCCTCGAGCTGAGCTGCCAGGTTCTCCTCGCAGGGTCGTAACGTAGACCCTTCTTGATAGAACCAAGTGCCACGGCGGACATCATAAATCGGACCTAACCAATATACCGGCGCCAATTCACGTTGTTCTATGTCAACATCGAACAAGAAGTCTTCATTAACCGGGACTCGTAGACCGCCTTGTTGTGGACTATTCTCCCCATCAATGCTGGTATTAGGCTCATCCTCCGACGACACAGCTCTCCTCCGCTGGGAGCTTGAGCGCATTTGCTTGTTTGTCGAACTCTTGCCTCGTTCGTCTTCGAGCTCCTCCAAGAGTTTCTGGTAGGCATTTTCGATCGATCTGGAATCGTTCTTGGAGAATGCGACGAATTTCTTTGGCGGCGTTGGCTTGGCTCCGTCTTCCTCCTTCTTCTTCGTCTTTAGGAAGTTCGGTTTTCGTTTGGGGACCTGATAATAAAAAACAAAAAAGTCAGAAGACTGCGAGTAAGGTAGAACTGTCAAGAGAATTGTCAAGATGTGCTACTCACATCTACGGCATGAAACCACATAACATTCAACGGTGGACAGTCCAATGGATATCTTCTGAAACTCTGACCGTAAAGAGTGTTTGTGCTATGGTCCTCAGCTTTCTTAGCAGGTACCGGCTGGCTCGTCTTCGGGGCGGTATCTTTCGGAGTCGGTGTGGTGCTCCGATTTGTAGTCCATGGATTGATAGAATCTACGGCGCTAGCTAGATACGACTTCTCTACCTTCTTGACCTCCTTCTTGTCGTTGGGCGCATTGGCATCGCTATTTTCTGGTGGCATCTTACCGGAGCGGCCGGGGGGCCATCCGAAGATCCGCCTCTTGGACACGCTGGAAAGTCGACTGTTGACAGGTCGTAAGGGTAGACGGACACCTCTGAACCTTCGCGGGATACAAATCAGCGAACTCGCCAACTTGACTAGCGGTTAAATAAGGTAATAAATAAGAGACTCGAACTTGAAAAGCCAAGTGTCAGATAATCATGTTAAATCTATTATTAAGATTGGTTGTCTGGTCCGCTTATAACTCTTCAGATAGAGTCGGTAAGGCTGGGAATTATTGGGTCCGAGTTGAACAATTCGGTGAGACAAGTTATATAATATACATAAAATAAAGCTTACTGTTAGACCTTTTTAGAAATGGTTGATAGACCGTTGCGGGAGTAGAAAATAAGATATTAATATCATCAGGTAATGGTATGGTAGGTAGGTACATAATGTAGGGAATATTTACACGTGGGAACATATGTATCAGATGTATCACATGTATCACATGGTAGTTACGGTAATTGGACCTTGTTGTCCTTGTCAGCCTTAAATTGACACCTTAATGCAGCATAATAACCCCTGCCTATGACGACCACACAAAGTTTAATGACTGCATGCGCTGCATAAAAGTACCTGCAACCCCACTATGAAGCTTACCCCATCCTTATCAAGTTATCGGTTCCGATAGGATGGTGGGGCACGAACTAGAATGACTCTAACCGAATCTCAGGTAGCCTGAGTTTGCGCGAAACTAAAATTTCCATTGAATCGAGCTTCGTTTCTAGACTTTAACGTAACGGGACATGATCTTTTTACTGTAACCTCCTCTTATTCTCTTATTCACTTTATCCTAACCATCGACTCCAAACTGCTATAGGGAATGAATTGTCTTCTACTTACTGCGATTGGGGCGCGCAACAAAATACCTGATTCCGACTGACCTTAAGACCCCTCTCGCGAAAGAGCTTTCTTGCGACGCGCCCGTCGTAAATACTACGGAAAATGGCTACCGCTACGATCACCACCACGGCTGCGCCGGTAAAACACCAGGTCGTGGATAAGCTTCCCAAGAAATTCAGACAGATCAAGTTCGGCATCCAGTCTAATCAAGACATCGTCAATCAAGCTGTTATAGAAGTTTCCGATCGAACTATGTACGATATTGACAGGGGCAGAGAACCAACACAGAATGGTATACTTGACAAGAGACTGGTAAGTAATTATGATTAATAGTAGCTTTCTTAGCATCGGTACTGACGTTATTCTTTCTCAGGGAACGTCGAGCAAGACAGGTACATGTTCAACATGTGGCCTTCGTTTACAGGACTGCACCGGTCACTTTGGCCACATTCGATTACCTCTACCGGCCTTCCACATCGGCTATATCAAGTTTACGATAACGATCTTGCAGAATATATGCAAAGACTGCTCACGGGTGTTGTTAACGGAGCCAGAACGACGAATGTTTCTCAAGGAGTTAAGAAGACCTTTTATCGACAACATGCGACGAAGTGCTATATGCAAAAAGATTAATACGCAATGTAGAAAGACGAAGAATTGCCCATACTGTGGCGCGGTGAATGGTCAAATAAGAAAAGTTGGAGCTCTTAAAATTGTCCATGACAAGTTCGTTGCATACAATAAGTCAACATCACAGAAGAAGCAGCCTCCGCCAAGTAAGATTGAGTTTGATAACTCCTTTCTAGAAGCTAAGAAACATGTCCACGACCTTGATAAGCATTTGAGGAAGGCTTTCGAGGATTTGAATCCTCTCAGGGTTCTGAATTTGTTTAAGCAGATCAGCCCTACCGATTGCGAGTTGCTTGGACTTGATCCTTCAGAGGGACGGCCTGAAATGTTCTTATGGCAATATCTCCCTGCCCCTCCCGTATGCATTCGACCATCCGTAGCCCAGGAGGGCGCTAGTAATGAAGACGACCTGACTACCCGTCTTGGAGACATAGTATGGGCATGCGGTCTCATCCGTGCTGCGCTAGAAAAGGGCACTGCCCTCCAGACCATTATGGAGCAGTGGGAATATATGCAACTGCAAATTGCAGTATATGTAAACAGCGATGTTCCCGGTCTACAGAGTAGTGGCATGAAAACGACGAGGGGTGTATGTCAGCGTTTGAAAGGAAAGCAGGGTCGATTCCGTGGTAACCTGTCCGGAAAGCGTGTCGACTTCTCTGGTCGAACTGTCATCTCGCCCGATCCAAACCTAGCCATTAATCAGGTTGCCGTACCTGAGCTCGTCGCCAAGAACCTCACGTATCCCGAAAGAGTCAACCGCGCAAACATCAACAAACTGAAGCAATGCGTACTAAACGGCCCTTACGTATGGCCAGGAGCCCAGGCCATCCTAAAACAAGACGGTGACCAGGCATTCAAAGTGTCCTTAAGATTTGCAGACAAGGAATCAGCTGCTAGAGATTTGCGCGAAGGTGACATAGTTGAACGACATCTCGAGGACAATGATATTGTCCTTTTCAATCGACAGCCATCGCTTCACAAGCTCAGCATTATGAGCCATTTTGCCAAAGTTCGACCGTGGAGAACCTTTCGTCTCAACGAATGTGTGTGTGGGCCTTACAATGCCGATTTCGATGGAGACGAAATGAATCTCCATGTTCCCCAGACGGAAGAGGCTCGTGCTGAAGCCATGGAACTCATGGGCGTCAAGCACAATCTAGCGACGCCGAAAAATGGAGAGCCTATTATTGCAGCAACGCAGGATTTCATTACAGCTGCATATCTGCTTAGTAGCAAAGATAATTTCTACGATCGCAGGACGTTTACTTATGTAGTGATGCAAATGATGGATGGTATAACTCATATCGATCTCCCACCTCCAGCTATCTTTGCTCCTAAGCGACTTTGGACTGGAAAGCAAGTCTTCAGTATGCTTATGCGTCCGAACAAGGCCTCACCAGTTAAAGTCAACCTTGATGCCAAGTGCAAAGAATTTTCCGAGCCAGAGCCATCTCAGCCAGGCCAAAAGCCCCCGGCACCGGATATGTGCCCAAATGACGGTTGGCTAGTTGTAAGAAATTCAGAAGTCATGTGCGGCAGGATGGACAAGTCCACTGTAGGAGCAGGCAAAAAGGAGTCTATTTTTTATGTCATTCTAAGAGATTTCGGTCCGGACGCAGCCGTAACGACGATGAATCGCTTAGCCAAGCTCTGTGCGCGAGTGTTGACGAATCGTGGCTTCTCAATCGGTATCGGCGATGTTTACCCTACTGCGTCTCTTACTGAACAGAAGCAAGCGCTTGTAGAGAATGCGTACCAACAGTCAGACGTCTTCATTGAGCAGTTCAATGCGAATAAGCTACCAAAAGCGGCAGGGTGCAGTATGGAAGAAACACTAGAAAACAAGATTTCCGGTACCCTCAGCAAAGTTCGTCAAGCCGCGGGAGACTACTGTATCAAGACATTGAGTAAAAACAATGCTCCTTGGATTATGGCTTCGTCTGGATCGAAAGGCTCGGTCATTAATGTCGCTCAAATGGTTGCCGTTGTCGGGCAGCAGATTATCGGTGGAAAACGTGTAGCCGATGGGTTCCAAGATCGAACTCTTCCACACTTCCATAAGAACACCCGCCAAGCTCCGGCAAAGGGATTCGTTCGAAACAGCTTCTACACTGGCCTAGTACCAACCGAATTCTTATTCCACGCTATTTCTGGAAGAGAAGGCCTGGTCGACACGGCCGTCAAAACTGCAGAAACTGGATACATGTCTCGTCGTTTAATGAAGTCGCTGGAAGATCTTTCAACTCAATATGACGATACCGTCAGAACCTCGGGCGGAGGTGTAGTACAATTCCAGTTCGGCGCAGACAAGCTCGATCCAGTCGACATGGAAGGTAAAGCTGTGCCAGTCAACTTCGCTCGAACTTGGTCGCATGCCGAAAATCTTACTTGGAAAAATTCCGATAAAGCGTTATTACCTTTTGAGATCCTAGAGCTTTGCGACTCCATCCTTAAAAAGGAACGCGACCGCTATCAGAGACGGGGATTGTTACACGGAGAACCACTAGAATACAGAGACGACAGCGACTATGCTATTGATGAGCATGAGAGTGCTCGAAAGTTCCTCGATACCGTCTACGGACATATGGAGGGTTTAGCGAAGAAGTTATCTAAATTCCGAGCTGCTGCAGGTCTCGAACCTATGCTTACCAAACCTAATGGATCATTGGCGACAATACACAGGAAAGAAAAGGGGGCAGTCTTGGCGGTCCCAAAACTGGCGTCGGAGAGGGTCGCAAAGGTTTCCGAACGCACGGTTAGAAAGTTCATTGCGCTATGCCTAGAGAAATATTCGAAAGCGCGTGTCGAACCGGGCCATGCAGTAGGGGCAGTGGGTGCTCAGTCGATTGGTGAGCCAGGAACGCAGATGACCCTGAAGACTTTCCATTTTGCTGGTGTTGCCGGAATGAGTATTACACAAGGTGTACCACGTATCAAGGAAATCATCAACGCCTCAAAGTTGATCAGCACGCCAGTTATCACCTGTCCCCTGCAAAACAACAGACAGATTGAGGTGGCACATCTTGTGAGAGCAAGAATTGAGAAGACATATATCGAGGATATTATTCGATACGTTGATGACGAATGGGGGCCACACAGGGCATTCATTACCCTTCATATTAACACTGAGGCCCTAGAAGGAATGCATCTTGGTATCGGCCTTAGCGACATTAAACACGCCATTTCCAAACAAAAGAAGCTGAAGATCCTGGATTCGGATATTGAAGTATTTGAACAAGACGCAACTATTGAGGTAACCGTGAGACCCCCAGACGCGGATTCCCTGGCCAAACGAGCACCGAAAAGTAAAGCGGCGATCGCGGAGGCGGCAGCTGACTTGCTCGTTCGAGTGAGCCACCTCAAGCGTGTATTGCCGTCAGTTCCAATCTCCGGGTATCCAGATGCTACCCGCGCAATCATCCAGACCGAAGAAGATAAGAAGGACAATAAAATCAACTATTATACTGTACTAGTCGAGGGTT